GGTAAAGAATAAATACACGCATTGTTCTTTTTATGTTAAATAATTTATGAAGGACAAACTACCTTTTCGTAGCATACTTTGAAATAGATGTTCATTTACTTGTAGGAATGCTTCCACTTTCCTACAAAAAATTGCAAATGGTGAACTTTTTCTTAAAACTCATTCTTTTATAGTCACGGTTAGCTTACATTTTACATGAAATGATTTCATTGAAGTCGTTGCCCTTAATATATGAAGAGTGCTTTCGTCTTCCCCTAAAAAGCATAGAGATGGGAAAGTACCGTTCACGTCTTTTGTACTCTACGACACAGCACATAAAAATGCAAACTTCCTTGTAAACAATCGAGGAAAATACACATTCTCAAATGTTTAATTAGTAGGTTATCATGATTGGCAACATGTTTTAGTTTTCGATCAGTAATGTGTAAATCACTCTACTCTATTATACGTTACTCCCATGCTGCATGTAATGCCTATTAGTCTTGGTCGATACTTTTAGGTTTCATTTGGTACACTGGATTAAGCCGCACAAGAAAATACGCATAAAATTAGAGATTGTACTAGATGGATAGTAGTAGGGTGGATTAAGGTGGATAATATTTACAAGTTTTTCATTCAAAAGGATGTCAAGTGCACTATCTATTCTATACGGCATGAACCAGTTCCTCACTCTGTATTTATTATCCAGTTAGCTTAAGAAAGATGGTGCAATTAGCATTCTTTTGAATTAAATAATGAAAATGCTATCCACCGTGATCCACCCTATACAGTATGTCTACTCTAATTTTACACTTAGTGCCTTTTAAGGTCTAATTCGATGTACCAAACACAAGCTCAAGTGTTTTGGATGGTGACAGCACGAATTGGATAACCCATACTATCAACTTGCACTTGAGAGCTGTACTGAATTGACCACTTGTCTACTTTTTATTGGCAACATCATCACAGAACAAGCTATCACGAGTTCTCTGATAATCTTTTTTAACTTAGTGTTTTAAACCATGTTCTGTAGGGAATAATGATTGTTCTGCTGATCAGTAGTGGTTCATTTATATACTTCAGACGAAAGCGAAGCAGCAAGATCCCTACCAATTCTTGGTTTTAAGCTCGAAGTTATCTTCCATTCGGGAACATATTGTTATCTTGGTTATATTGTAATACCTAGTTTTGTATCCTTGTTGTGATTGATTGGATTGTAATACAAATTGTAGAAAAGTCAAGAACTAAGCTTCCATTTGGCAAATTTATAAAGAATAATATTAGTGGATCCCTCGAAATGTGAATAGTAATGAGTAATAATTACGAATGTGTGGTTGAAATCAATTTTTGACTATGTATCCAAAAGGAGGCTATATTTATATTAACCAAGTAATTTCCTTCTTTGTAATTATTCTAGGGTGTGTTTGTCATCCATTATTTGGGAAGAATGTATTATGGAATAGTGATTGATGTTGAAATGTGTGGTTAAAAAAAGAAGGAAAAGTTTTTAATTTATATTTAATATTATTTTAATGAAGAATGTGTGGTTGAAAATGAGTATTGTCGGAAAAAAAAGGGGAAAGAATGGGAGAGAATGGATGCAAACAGGGCCTAATTTGTGCTGTCAATTAGCCAGTTAATAATGCTTCCTTTTTTATTTTTCTTTTGTTTCCCTTCGATCATTACATATGATTGTATGAGGTGAACTCAAGATTTGTTTGAACAAGATTCAACTTTTTATGTTAGTTGTGTCCAATTCAATTCAATGTCAATGTTCTTTCAAAGTTTGGTCC